TTTTATAGGTCTTGAGATGAAAAATCGATACAGACGCACACACAGACGCACAGACACACGGACACACAGGCAACCCCTCGTCAATATGCGTTTCCTGCGTTGCATAGCTACAAAAAACGCATAATAATATTGAAGGAGTTCGCCGAAAATAGAAGATGAGACAGAGAAAAGCAACGATCACCCAGTCCAATCAGTACTTATAAGTCAAAGAACGACTGATAAAATGCGCCAATTTCTTATGGAATATATCACCGCAAGAGGATAACAACCTCAAAAAGCGTTTACAAAAAAAAACTATAAAAAACTATAGCATATGACGGTTTCACAGTGCCCACCACTGAAAATGTGCGAAAATCGACACCGGCATTCATCAGAAATGAGAGTAATTCACCTCATTTTCAAAAAAAAAAGTAATTGGCCAACGCACGGGCTACCCGTGCAAAGATGCGTTTTTTGCGTAGCTCCCCGCAGATTTTTGTCGCTAACGGCACTGCTTTTTCCAACAGTTGCTTCCAGCTAAAAGAATTTCAAACTGGCCGCCAGGACTATCAGGAAACATCCCTTCAAAATTCCACTCTTCTAGCTTCTCAGGTTCTCGAGTTAACAACTTACCCAAAAAAAATTTTGGCGGGCTCGTACGTGGGTACCACGCATACCCGGAGGCTAGGTTTGAGCTCAGTAATACCTGCTTGGACGGGGATTTAGGTGGACGGAGGGTATCCCCTTAAAATTACAGTCTTCTAGCTTTTCAAATTCCAGAGTTATCAACTTACCCGCAAAAACTTTGGTGGGGTTGTGCGTGGGTACCACGCGAGCAAGGACATCTGTTTTGGGGAATGGAGCCCGTACGTGCATGTAAATTAAGTTCCCAAAGTTTCAGCCCTGTAGCTTTTATAGATGAAAAATCGGTACAGGCGATACCGATTGAGATGAAAAATCGGTACAGGCGCACACACAGACACACAGACAACCCCTCGTCAATATGTGTTTTCTGCATTGCATAGCTGCAAAAAACGCATAAAAAACCCATCAAGACAACGACACTGCCGCAGAAATCCCATCAGGTACTATGAATCCATAACATAACAAATCTGTAGCTTTGCTTTAAACAGACTGTCTTTAAATCTAACCTTGCGTGACTTGTCCGGAACTTCCTGGCTCAGCGTGAAAGCCGACCGATGATTTATTAGTTCCATCTGAAGCAATATTTTCCTGGGCCGTATTTTTGCTGCTACTGGACGCTTTTGCATTCCTCGCCTCCTTTTGAGATTTCTTCTGTTTTGTGGCAGAAGCTGGCGAAGATACAGCAGAGCAGAGAGAGGAAGTTTCAGAGGTTGAAAGTGAATCTGGTAATTTTCGTTTCGGTGTTGCTGCTGTTTTGCGAGCACTCTTTTGCGGTAACTCTGTGACTTTCTGTTGCTGCTGCTGCTTGCCTTGTTTCGATCTCTTTTCAGTACTTCCACTCTGCTGGCTTCCCTGTTTGCCCTTAAAAAATCTATGACGCTAAGAAATACACACATTTTACAATAAAAAAAAAAAAAAACCAAACACTGTCTCTTCCCTTGTATATTTCATATTCTATGAGATGAAAACACTTTGGCACCTAGAAAAAGGCCATCACGAAGGCCAGTAGTGGGCCGAATAGGGATGTAACTGATTTGAAGAATCGAAACATTTCCAATTATTTTTGTTTATTTGACTATTTTTTGGTAATTTTTACATTTTTTAAATACGGCTTTATATTTTATGCATATATATAATCATTAATACCTTAATCTTTCAAGAATTTTTTACTGAGTAAACTGGAGGAGATT